TTTCAGTGCTATGATGAGCTCTAAAGCCAGAATGAAACTCTTCAAAATGTTCATTATGGTGTAAGTGGTCACACAATTGTTTGGCAACTAGGAAAGGAAGATTGGATATAGGTCTATAATTGAAAAAGTCATCTGGGTCAAGAGATGGTTTCTTCAGTAAAGGTTTAATTACAGCAACCTTAAAAGCCTTTGGTACATATCGCTGCAACAGAGATAGATTAATCACATCTAAAATGGAGGAGGAGATCAAAGGGAATACCTCCTTAAATTACCTGGTTGGAAGTGGATCTAACATCCAAGTTGAAGGCTGAGATGAAAACAATAGTTTTGATGACTCTGAAAGTTCAACTGGATCAAAGCAGTCTAAACCCGGTTCAGTTTCTATGGCTACCTTAGATGCTGCCTCACCTTCCAGAGATAAACTTATAAATTTATAATGGATCACATAAAACAATTAATATATAGGATTATTTTTATGCTCCTCTATCATTGAGGATAAATATGCTGCTCTTGCTTTATGAAGGGTCCTCTTACACAGCAGTAAACAATTTTTCCATACCAGGTAGGATTCCCTTAAGCATGTAGAGCGCCATTTTCTCTGTGCAGTTCTGCATTAAACCAGGGAGCCAGCTTTCTACTACATTGTCTAAGGCAGTACGTAGAGAACTAGCAACCCCATCAACAAAATGATCAACCTGTGATGGGGAACAAGCTAAACTTTCACCCTCTGCAACACTGCTCAGCAACAAAGAGGAGTAAGAAAGTGAAACACATTCTTTAAAATTTACAACTGCACTATCTGATAATGATCTACGAAAGTAAAAACCTTGTTTTGGGGGAGGAGAACTGTGTTAAGTAATCCTTAAGGTTATTAAAAAGTGGTCAGAGAGGACAGGGTTGTGAGGAAATACTGTTATTTCTTCACATTCAATGCCATATGTCACCACAAGGTCCATCCATTTTCTGACACGCTTAATCCCAAGTGGGGTTGTGAAGGTTGCTGGTGCCTTCTTTGCACCAGCAACCTTTTGTACAAAGAATTAAATTAATAATGGATAATGTCTAAAAAGCGAAAGACAGAAACAATTACATTTCCTCCAAATAATAATGTTGATTTGTATGTAAAATATCTTAGGACTTAAAAACCTGAGCCCCTGTCTACACAATAGCTCTGAAACTGAGTTTTGCAATCACTCCCTCCATGCTCCAAATCCTCAGGGGCCATAATAATCATCTAACCTGTTCACCTCAACAAACTTGTTTCGCCTCTTTCATCCTGTTTCTTTAAGATGAAAATTCTCTGAACTTTAGGTAAGAAAATGTTGCCACACCTAAATACCCTCAGGAACGTCTTCCCATGTTGTTAATCTTAAGCAACATACCTGTTTGCAGGTGGAGGTAATACTAACCATTCTTCTTAACTATTCTATGTTTAAGTTTTATTTATTTCTTCTTTATTGGCTCTACAGGGACTCATACAAGTAAATAGTATTAGTTGCATGTATTCCATGTTTATCTGCATTTTATATATAACATATTTTTGAAATGTAAACTGATAAAATTATTTACTAACCACATTCAACTTTGATGTGTTGAAACTATCATTTATGCATTTAGTTAAAAGTGCATCTTAATTAGATGTAATCTTGTTGCTGCAAAAACATATAACAGAGAAATAAGAGCAAGTGAGATTTTAGCCATTATTTTGGAAAACTCCTTTTGTCAGCAGTTTTACTCCACCAAAGCTATCAAATAAAAAGTGGTAAGGACTTTTCAGAAAAGTTTAGTTACCACTCAGTTTAATTATATTTATTTTACATTTAACTCATCTTATCGTTGTCACCCCCAAAAAAACACCAAAATCTCGTCTTATCTCATTCTAAACTAATACATTTCAGTTAGAACAGAAGAAGAAGTTGCAGTCACTTGGTATTTTTGAATTAATATGTTTAATGTTTGCTATTGTTCTGTTTTCCTTCAGAAAAAAATGCATTTGCAAAGGGGGGGTAGGTAAAACAAGCTCAAACATGTTAAACATTGATCCAACCAGCAGGAGAGGTGACTAGACAGACCTTTACCTGCAAATATTACATTTTAATTTATTCATTTAAAGGTGTTAATACTTCTTCACATTTCACTCACATGCACAGAGAAGCCACTTAACCTAACAGTCATGTTTTTGGACTGTGGGAGGAAGGCAGAGTACCAGGAGAGAACCCACACATCAGAGGGAGAACACACAAACTATTGTAGAAAGACCACAGGCCAGGAATTGAACCCAGAACCTTCTTGCTGCAAGGCAGCAGTGCTACCAACTGTGCCATTCTGCAGCCCCTGATCCAGTCATTTATTTTAAATTGACAGTGAAAAAATTATCAGCAGTTCTGTTAAGACAAACGGGCCGAAGCTTTGGCAAAATTATTGTAAGGGGTGCTGTGGGATATCCAAACTGTTATACAGAGGTTAGAAAGTACTGGCAAATGTTTACATTCGTCTTAGAGATTAAAGGTGATAATAGAAAAACTTGGTAAGAAGATTTTTTTTTTATTTCAACATATACTTCAACAAATGATGCAGAAAAAAGGCAATTCAAAATTAAGTCAAAAACACATTTTTTTCAGAATACTATTTTTATTTCGATAAATGCACTAAAGCATAGTAAGTCCTTTCTATGCCATTTATTTATATCATGGTATTTTGTGATTATCTCACTCTTTTCGCTTCTGGTTCTATCATCACCTTGCAAGCTTACTTTAGAGAAGTGACAGCACTTTCGTAAAAGGTATTATCAACACGTCAGTAAGTGAAAACACAGGTTTTGTGTTGCTTATCAGTTGCAGAATCTGTAGTAGTACCATAGGGTGTTGTTGTAGTTTAACAAACAGAGCAGAGCTGAATACACATTTATCTTTGAAAAACAACCTCGGTAAAACTGAACTTGAAAAAGACAGTTCGAGTTACAGAATGAATAGAGAAAGTTGTCTATCCTGCTGTCATGGCAATCACTTGGATGATTAAGAGGCCCTTATGGCTCATGGGAAAGAAAGTGTAAGGTTGAAGATCTTAATGTTTAAAATAAAAATATGAGCCTCCAATTCTAGGGTGCAAGATCTTATTATTTTTTAACTAGATGTAGATAACTCATACATGAGTAATCCACTTTACTGAAAGAAAGAAAACATTATCATTGTGCCTTTTAGCTCCAAAAGTTGTTGTTACGTAAACAGGAAAGCCAAAAAAAGAAAAATTGTATCCTGTCTAAACTAACAGAAATTAGGGCTTTGACTCAAACTGCTACCGTTGATCAAAAAAGATCTTTACATCTTATTTTGTCATGTTTCTTTAATGCAATTTGTTTCATAGTTGCTTTAAAGGGAACTGAATGACAAACATTCTTTAGGTGCAGACTCATCACAGCATCTGACCTCACCCTGCTTATCAGTTTGACAGCTGAACAAAGAGCTCTGACAGGTTCACAGTAAAATGCAGGGAAGAACTGATTATGCACTACTAGCACATACAACAATTATTTACTGACAAACATACAGCCACTTTGCTTCTTTTGAAAATCAACGTGCATGTAGGCTACTTGACAGTAAAATAATACATTTTTTATTTATTTTACCAGAAGTTGCAATAATAAAAAGGGTTACATTATATACCGGTATATATATATATATATATATATTTATATATATATATATATATATGTGTGTGTGTATATATATTTGCAACAATGTTTTAAATGTACAAAGTCCCAGTTATATAGACTTCTTTTGTTAAATTTTCAGGTATTGCCTGGATTATTTGTATAGAGGAATCTAGAACTTCCAAACCAGGGCTGCAAAAAAAAAAAAAAAGACTATGCTTTAAAATTGATTCCTCTTCACTCATTTGAGTTTATGCAATTAACAGGAACATGTTATGAAATTAAACTACTGAATTTTATTTTAAGGTTTCCACTGAAAACTAATGCATAAAAGCAGAGTGACTGCTGTTTTTGTGTTATTACACTCTACTGCAAGGAAATGTTTTACCTGTCGTAGTAAAAAGGAAAGAAAATCTTGTTTTTGAACAATTTGAATTATTTATCAAGAAAGAAGACCTCAAGTCATATCTTTTTGTTTCAACAGAGTATGTAGGGAGTTCACAGATCAAAGTCAGCCACATAAAATGCACACAGTGACTACCTCATCATGCTGATGTTTAAAGATTGACACCTAGTGTTTGATTTTTGTATCGTTTTGCTAACTGTCACAGGAAAATCCTTTTCTAAGTATTTTTTTTCTGGCAGCCTGAATGATCTAATTTCTAATATTCTAAATATTGTGGTGTTGTTTTATTTTTGCTATTACCACTAATGTGGTAAATTGTATCAAAAATGTGGTAACACCAAGATTACACACTCATAATTAGTATCACCACTGGAGAAGACAACCTTTTTCCTACATATACCTCAAATTATTGGCTATGGAGGTTATTACTGTTACTGAGCTACTTGAACACAATACTTGCCTCTTATTGTCACCAGATGGATTTTTTTTATTCTAAAAAGTTCCGAAAAGATGGTTCCCAAACGCATTTGTGAACAAATTAACTGTAGATGCCATTTTCTGAATGTCTGTGCCAAATTTTCACAGAGGTGAAACTTTCACTCTTATGTGCCATTTCTGTCACTATGAGCAGTTGGAAGGCCTAAACATTCTCAAAATACAATGTAATTCTTAAAAATGACTTGTCAATGTAATGAAGTACTGTCCAAACAAAATGCTTTTTAAAGATTAGTGTACCGACTGGCCTAACAGAACAAGAAAATGTGGAATCACAGGTTTGACTTGATAATGGGCAACAAACCCCTACCCCTGGTCAACACACCCTTGATGAAGTGATAAAAAGAGTGCAGGGTAATTTGCCAACTGCATTCCACCCTTTCATCTAAAACGTCAGGCCCCTCCCACTGCTGCTGTTGGCCGCTATATAATTAAGGACAACCATAGATGGTTTTTACTTATCTCCAGACCTCCTGACATATCCAGATCCAGACTCTCCAAGATGTCTTTTACCTCAAGATCCTACAGCCAGAGGTCCGTCAGCCAGAAGACAATGAGTGTCTATGGTGGTGCGGGAGGTCGTGACATCCGTATCTCCACACCCTACACTACTTGCTTACCCTATTCAGGAGGCTACAATACCACTGATGGGCTTGACCTCCATGTCGATGCCAGTGAGAAAGCCACACTTCAGAACCTAAATGACCGTTTGGCCTCCTACCTGGAGAAGGTGCGCAAGCTGGAGAAGGAGAATGAACAACTGGAAAAGCAGATCAGAGAGTGGTACTCCAGCAAAACTGTGATCACCCGTGATTACAGTGGCTACTTGGCCACCATCGCAGACCTGCAGGATAAGGTATGAGAAAAAGACTTAAAAGGCTGTATCTCAGGCCTGCATTAGCATCCAAACCTTTTCATGGTGTGGAATCCAATTACACCTTGTGTTTGTAAAGGCGCCACATTTTTGGAGCCATTAGCATTTCTATGTGTCATTCAAGTAATGCAGCAAAGTTATTTTGATTACTATCATACATTACTTTGCTTTCTTCCTGGGAGGGTAGATGCTCACAGTGACAGTGTGTGCCCATGATTTATAACAATTTATCTATCAATTAAACTATGTTCTTTAAAAAACATTATGTGCTTTCTACCCTTTATCACATACTTAAAAATTCAAAATGTTACATGTATATTTTCATGTCAGCTCAGGTGAATTTGAATCTTTGCTATCCTCAGATCCAGGGTGCCACCACATTCAATACTAAGCTCTACTTGGAAATTGACAATTCAAAACTGGCTGCTGATGATTTTAAAATGAAGTAAGTGTAGCAGTATTTCACACATACATCACAGCATTAACAGAGGCCTACTGTAACTGCAAACTGCTTCTAATGAGACTCTGAAATGCCTCTGACCCGCTCTGCCTTCCCCCATGTAATCTTCTCAGGTATGAGAATGAGCTAGCCATGAGGCAGGCTGTAGAGGGTGACATCGCTGGACTAAGAAAGGTCTTGGATGATTTTAATCTGGTCAGAATGGACCTAGAGAGTCAGTACGAGTCCCTAAACGAAGAGCTCATTATGTTGAAGAAGAACCACGAGGAGGTAAGGCTGCAGAGAAAACAGCCCATTACAAAGAATCAACTTCATCAACTTAAGGCATGCAGATAAAACAACATGACTGAGATGAATTGCTCCTGCCTTGATTAAATACACGAGTTCAAAATCTTTCATCAGTAGGAATTTACTTTGAGTAAGCTGATAATCTGCCACATACTTCTGTTTGACACTAATCATAAAACACACATGACCTGTTCCTTCCCCCGATAAAACAGAATGATATTGTTTCAGGTTGTTGCCAATGAAAGATGATGATTTCTGCACATTGTTCTCCTCCTGCTTGAGCAAATTTTTGTTGTTGGTCAAACACTCACTATACTGTATATCTCAACCACAGGTGCAAATAAATCACAAAGATGCATTAATACAGTGCGGCAACACTTTATGCAATTATAAAAACAGAAATTCATTATATTTTCAGGATTTAATTCACATTAAATCCCCCCATTGCTGTATCTCTTTCAGGAAATTAGTCTGCTGAGGACTCAGATGGGAGGAAATGTTGATGTGGCAGTTGATGCTCCTTCTTCTGTAGACCTGAACCAGGTCATGACAGAGATCAGGGATCACTATGAGGGAGTTATTGCCAAGAATCGTAGAGAACTTGACCAGTGGTACCAGAGCAAGGTGAGACACAAACTTAAAATCCTTATAATTTTTCAAATCTTCACTAGAATCCAATAAATATTTGACATTGTGTTTCTGCCCAGATAACGGTGGTGGAGAAGGTTGTAGAGGACAATTCATCCAGCCTTGGGGCATCCCGCCTTGAGATTAAAGAACTGAAAAGCACCTTGCAGAGACTTGAAATTGAGCGTATGTCCCAATTGAGTATGGTATGTTAAATTCCTAATCCATATTTCTTTTTAAACTGTGCATTTCAACAATATTGTGAATTTAGCTTTCAGAAATTAATAAAAAAACAGAATTAGGTCAAGTTTTTTTTTTTTTTTTTTTTCGGTGATGCAGTTTAAAACATTTTGTCATGCTTTGATGATATGATCATACAGACACACATTTTGATTGCTGTTTCTGACTATCAGACCTATAAGTAATGCATCTCTATATCATTTCCACCTAATACAACAGAAATCTTCTTTGGAGGCAACTCTGCAAGAGACTAATGAACGCTATGGAGTCCAGCTAGCAGGTCTCCAAGCCATGGTCACAGGCCTGGAAGCCCAGATGTCAAACCTTAACACAGATATCTCTGAAATGCAAAATAAGTATAGCACATTGTTGGACCTTAAGACCCGTCTGGAGGCAGAGATTGTAGAGTACAGGAGGTTGCTGGATGGGGAGGACGACAGGTAGGAACCTGTCAAGGTGCAATGACTATACCATATTAATATTAATTATGCATGAAGTAATGATTTTAATCTCTCTCTCTTCCAAATGCAGCTCAAAACAAGGTAAAAAATATTTCCTTAGAAAATAGTTTACAATCTTTATTAATGTAAAGAATTGATTTACAAAATTCTTTTTTTTCTGCAGTGATCACAAAGACTATCATTGTGCAGGAGACAGTTGTGGATGGAAAGGTGGTCAATTCCACAAAGACTGTGGATGTGGATGTGGATCAAGTGGAGTAAAAAGATCAAAATGATTCAAGAAATTCAATAAAGTTTCTGCAGTAAAATTTTACTTTCCTGTGTGTTTTGTAATATACATACAATCCTTCCAGCAGAGAAGTATTCTTTTTGACATTACTGTTACTATCTAATACCAATTAGGGAAAAAAAAAATCTTTTAATAGTGTTCCTACATGGGATTTAATTCAGCGTGTGTGTTGTAAATTCTATGTTACCAATCCCAATTTTGGGATCACTGGTTTATGTGGGATAGGAGAGTTTAAACGCCATATGAAGTGTAAATGCTAATATTAGCACTGATGGGCATCAGAGCATCATTTCAAATACATAAAAGACAAAGGTTCAAATCCTATTACAGCTAAAATCCAAGAACGTGACAATTTAGATGGTAATTTGTCCAAAGTGGAAGAGGAAGTCAGGGAGATCTGATAGACCACCTCTTACTGGGACTTAAAGACTGCTGTCTACCAAGCCCAGTGTGGTCATATGATTCACCATTGTGAAGAAAGGTTTGTGACAGCAGTGAATGGACATATCTAAACATATATGGATAAGCCCCTTTTCCAGTGAAAGCACCAGAATTTTAAAATCTTGGATTTGTTTCAGCCAGATAAAAGTGGTGTCTATATTATTTATTGAAAAAAAAAAAGAAGCTCTTTAGGTATGGCTTATCACGTACATTCAATAAAGTCTTCACTTCACCGCATAGATGGGTTGAATTTTCAAGTGGATGTCTTGTCACTCTAAATGATAGGTTAAGCTGCAGCGATCTTTACAGAGTCTATCAGCTTATCTTCACCGTTGGAGCGTTGAGGTTGAGATGTATTATTCCTGTTGTAGACTCTCCATTTTTAAATCTTTTAAGCTAAATCATGGGTCATTTTCATCATCAACCGCATGTCTCAAGGCCAGCACAGTCACAGGCATTCCCTCAGTGCAGTTTCTATCTGAATCCGCTTCACGTTAGACACATTCAATATTGTGCCCGCCGCATTTCATCTTGGTTTGCACCCTAAGGCACCCACCATCCATCAAAACAAGCGTTTTCTGGCATTCCTTTCTAATTGCTACAGGTGTTATGATGCCCTCTATCATCGCGGCGAGCAGTTATGGTACCCTATTCCCATTGCCGCAGGTGCTCATGGTGCCTTTTTCCTATCGCTGCAGGTGCTCATGGTGCCCTCCATCCATCATGCAGGTGCCTATGGCGCCTTTTTCCCATCACTACAGGTGTTCATGGTGCCTTCCATCCATTGCGGCGGAGCTTATGGCGCCCCTCTTTCCATCGCAACAGGCGCTCTTGGCACTCTTTTCTGCTATGGTGCTTTCTATTAGAGCACTTTATGGAGCCCCCCTTTTCCTTTTTTCTTTTTTAACAGTGTCCTGTCTTGCGATATGGCAATAACAATAAGATTGCTTTCACAAGCAAAATCTGTTGGGCACCCTTTTTCAATCACTACAGACGCTCATGCGCCCTCTATTCAACACTGCATGCAATTATGGTGCCCCCATCATCGCAACAGGCGCATTATGGTGCCTTCCATCATCACAGCGGGCGCATCATGGCGCCTTCCATTATCGCAGCAGGCGCCTCATGGCTCTTTCCATCTTTTGCATCGGGCACCTCATTACGCCTTACATCTTTCGCAGTGGGCACCTCATTGCACCTTACATCTTCGGGGCGGGCATTTTATGCCGCCTTCTGGCATTGCAGCGGGCACTCATGGCACCCGATACCCATTGCAGCAGACCAATCCCACTTTTATCCCATTGCGGAGGGCACTTCATGGCACCCTTTTTCCGCCGCAGTCAGCTCATTGCCCTAGGCGCATCGCACCCACACCCATCCATCTGTTCGTATCACAATGGTGCTTCGCTCCAAACCCCTTAGGACATCATGGTATACATATCTCAACTGAAACATAACAATCACGGCCTGCTCGTTTCGTCCCTCGGTCATCGTGGCTTGCGGGCTAGCCTAGATTATCGCCTCCCCATCTCATTTTCTCAGCTTATCGTGGCTGCATGTGCGTGTGTTTTGTGCTCCCACCCTCAGCTCATCACTACGTAGAGCTTATCTTTGGTTGTGGTGGGCCAGAGTGTTCAGCCACAGCCTATCATTGCAGTTATCACCTCAGTCATCACCACATTGTTATTTCAAGTGTCAGTGTCTCCTTGCTTGGTCAGCCAATTTTGCCATTGCGCATCATCCCGAGCGTTGCTCTTTCATTTCCAGGCTGCTTGATCTGGCTAATTGCATTTCCTTCCTCCTTGTCTTGGTTCACTGCCTTCTGACTTTTCTTTTTGGTCTAGACTGCTTCTCGATTCGATCGGCAATCTTTTCTACTCTCACATCATTCTGTCTACAGCCATGCTTCATGCCCTATAGGTTTTGGGGGGGGTTCTTTCAAATAGTTGGATTGCAGTTCATGGCCTGCTCCCCTCATCAATTCTTATTCTCTGCTGTGTGAGGTTTAACCATTAGCTGTAGCTTGCATTGTCGGGCCATTCATTCAGAATGGAGCAGCCACAACAGTGGTCTGTGGCATCTCCTTGACTTTTCTCAGCAATGGGGCTGACGTTCATCAGTTTATGCCTCATACATCTGCCCTGAGCATGCATTCATCAACCCGAACTGCTCAATGTTCTCTCAGCCTTTAAGGGTAAGCTAACTACAAATACTGTTGGTGGTTTCAAAACTCATTCACATCCTTCATCAGATCTGAATGTTTGATTATTTCAGTTGTGTTTATAACCCATTCTTATCACTCATCTCTCTCCTGTAATTCGTCATGCCAGATGGTTGTTTTACCAGGCTCCCTTCTATCATTCATCCTATCATTCATCATAGCAATCATCCCCTCATTCTTCCCATCACCATTCCCCTCACCTCACCTCACCTCACCTCACCATCCCTTCACAAACTTTTGGTAGTCCTTCGCAGCAACTGTACCTGGCCCTCTTTTGGTAAGCCTTCACGGCACCGGCCTTCTAGTGAGCCTTTGCGACTCATCTCTTCTGTTACTCTACTCTACATTTCTTAGCTTTTAATTCAGTCTCTGCCTTCTGAGCATGCTGTTGGATCAGCCTCAACCAGCAATTGTTTTGGGGGGGAACAGCCCTGTTCTTTACTCCTGTTCATGTATTTTTATCAAAATGCAGCGCTATGTTTCCTGCCGAGGTCTGAGCGCCAAAGACCAAGTAATTGTATCAATAAATTTCTTCTAATTGTCTTTTCTCTTCGTGTGAGTTTTTCAGATTGAATTGCTTTTATTATTAAATTCTAGTGTCATATAGTTTAATTATGGCATTTATTGTACTCAGTGCAAAATGTGCTATTTTTGTTGTTTTTAACTACACCTGATACATTATTTCTCATGACCAGCCTTAAGGTTATTTTGTTGAAATTCCCTCTAATATTTGTGCTTGAACTGAATCCATAAGCTGGACATTTTTAGATAAATATTCTACATTTTATTTCCTATCAGTCTACATCTAGCCAGAGTAGTTTTATTGGATTGCAATAGCAACTAAACACTGATTAACACCATTTTTTTTTCTTTTTTATAATAGTATTAAAGTGGCACTTATATCAGATATCTAATGCACAAAAATACGTTATTTTTATTCTAAATTGTATTTATTTGAGTCAGTCTGCAGGAGGGGCAAACTCATACCTCAACTCTTTATATTTAAGCAAATATTTATACCAATTATATGATGTAGACAGTGCAGATGATACTGTGGCAGCAAGGTAGGACTACAAAAAGGAAAGCATATTTTCTAGTTTGCTGTGAGCCAGCTAATGCATCAATTTTTTCTCATCAAAGAATAAATCTTCAAACTGTATACATAAGAAACATTAAGTGGTTGAAAACTAGTAGATGTCAGATAATTAACTGACTGATATTTTTTTATTTATGACAGTACAGAGGTGTAGGAAAGCAAAGTTATTTTCTTCAAAAGTAAAAATGAATTCAATTTTATTTATTTAGAAGTAATCTATGGGCTTTAAGCCTTAATTGTACTGTCACATTCATGTTGAAACGGGTTTGATTTTGAACACTAAATAATGGTATCACAAATACTACAAATACTGAATATTACCGTCAGGGCAAGCAAGAGTCAGGTTGATGGAAAACAATAAAGAAAGACGGTGACCAAGTGAATTACCCTGTGGCACTTTCTATCTATAATACTAAAATCTGAGTGATAAAGATATAAATTAAACCAAAAAAAGAAGGACCTGTCAAGATTAATCAGTTGTATTTTATCCAACAGGGGAGAACAAATAACCATGTCAAATGCCTTTGTAGGGTTAATGAATAAAGCTCCAGTAAGTAATTTATTAATATATCATTAGTGAATTTTGGTAGTGAAGAGCTTCTTGATTTTTTTTTTTTTTCAAAATCCCAATTGAAACTGAGAGACGAGATTATCAATATTAGACAAATGATTAAATAATTGACTAAAGATGATATTTTTAATGACTGACAGTGCCGTTAGTAGCTGATGTTGTTCCATATTGTTGGTGTCATAAATCTCAAACACCTTTGTTAATGTATAGGAGGTGTGCAGCATACTAGCACTGAGAAGGCACATGTAGAAAAAAAAAAGGTTTAAAGGAATGGAAATTAGAGAACATGATACTTGATATATTTTACATAAATATCCTTAGGAACAGCCGAGCACAAAGAGAGACCCTCAATGACATGCTCAGTATCAGTCTGGCTGACTTGCCTAATTGAAAAACTAAAAATAAACAAGGTTTCAGAAAACATGTTAAAATTGGGTAAAGGGGGCACTTCAGTTGAAGGAGAGAACTGCTGACTGAAGGTGTCTGCAAAGATGATTTGTTCAGAAGGAGGAATGCAAATTTTATAGTTAATTCTGATATTAGAATTTGGTTCATCTGATTAACTGATAATGTCTACTTTAGTATGGTTGATATTCAGAAAAAGAAGCAGCTGCTCATCCTTAACTGCAGCCAGTTGATGTTTGTACAGCAGGTGTCTCTATTGGTAAAGGTTTCACAGAAATTTAATGCATTGTTTTCTTTGTTTACTGTAATAGGAAAAAATATGCAAAATGCACATTATGGCTCTCTGTTTTGAAATGTAAATACTGAACAAGCTCCTTAAATTAACATCTTAAAAGCGTTTATTCAGGCGCACTGTATGTTTCCACTGTTTAACAAAGAAATTGTCACGATTTGACTATGGTTTGTTGACCCAAAAGCAGAGGAAGAGAGGCAGAGGTGAATCTGTTGTGGATTTAATAATGACTTAACAAAAATCAGAGGCTGGTTATCCAAAAATCCAAAAGGAAAACAAAGTCCAAACAAACATGAAACCAGAAGTCCAAAAATCCAAAAATCAAAAACATGAAAACAAGTCTAACGTACCAGAAACCATGGGGACATCAGGGGAATCACAAACATAACGAGGAAGGCACAGAGAGAAGGAGTTGGAGCATGTAGACAGTGTTTGACGAGGACCCAGCAAAGGGGAACTAAAGAGAGAGGGCTTTTAAAGGAGACTGAGACAAAGAGGGGGCTAATGAGGAAACTGGGAGCAGGTGTGCACAGAACAAGAGAGGGAAAGAGCTAGGGAAGAAGGAGAACATAAGAGGGCAGCAGAGAGCAACAAATAGAAACCTGGAAGACTGGAAATAACATCAAAATGATAATCAAATAACTAGGACTATAAAACATGGTGAAAAGAAAACTAAACACTAGAAATCAAGGAGTAAAGTAAGACTGAATACTCAAAAGAAAAACATAACAGAAACAGAAACCTAACAGAAATTTGTATTTGATGCCAGTTAAGTGGAGGACATTACATAAAGTATTGTAACATGACAGAGAAAGACATGATGCCAATATGCATGATTGATAGTGAGGGATTTTGTGACTCAATACACTGAATGAAGCCAAGCAAAGGCTGCAGTTCTTCACACAGTATGAAAAAACAATAGCAGACAAGTTAAACAAGAAGCAGAGTCGTTTTTTAAAGGACAGCACATGAAACATCCATCCATCCATCCATCTATCCATTTTCTGTCACGCTTCTCCCATGCGAGGTCGCAAAGCTTGCAGGTGCCTATCTCAAGCTGTCTATGGGGGAGGCAGCGCATGAAACATTGTTTCTGCAAACAACCACACCAGAGTAGGTTTGACTCAGAATGAATATTGAAAAAATATTTTCTAGTTTTAAAACAAAATGGAAATGCAATTAATTATTCAATTGATGTAGCCCCATAAAGTCTTGTTAGTAATTCATTGATCAATTGCAAAGCTGTGTAATTAAATTTAATTCAGTTCAGTTTGTCATCTCAACACACTTTACAGACAGTTCAATCAGATCATCCAGTCAGATTGTTAAAAAAGTTTATGAGGAAGTAGTCTCCTTCTATGAATTCTAAAACCATGCCTTCTTAGATTCCATTCAAGTCTTTCTTTGCCCCCTTGTTTTGAGTATTCCTGGTCTTCAGTATTTTATTTTTTTTTTTGTGGATTTATGTTTTAGATTTTTGCTTCTGTTGAACTAAACTTTAAGAAAACCCCTTTAGCTTCAGTCTGCATTTGGGTCCTGTCAAACCTCCAGCATCACTGTGACACCCCCGGGCCACATGGTATTCATATAAAGGAAACAGAAATAAGCGGAGAATCTAACAGGGTACACAGTTAACATTTCCTACATCTGTCTCTAACAATTGCTTGCATTTTGTTGTTGACTCTATGGCAATTCCTCACACCAAGCATGCATGCAGCCACAGTGGAGAGTGAGAGTCAGTCTGTGGGAGTGGCGCTTGATCTCTGAACCTCACGATTTCAAGCTCTATGCCCTAACCACAAGGCCACCTGGAGAAAGAAGCAGAGAAACAGAATGAACATAGAAGTCAGTGGCGATTTCTTATTGAATACCCAGAAGGCTAAACCTCTGCTGTAAATTTTGTAAAATAATCTATCAAATATGCACTATGCACTAAAATGCAATTATTTTCATTAGTATTTTGTGCTTTAATCAGTTGTTAACCCCACTCTAGGACATAGTCTCCACTCAGCTCTGGAGCAGCAGAACGCTACCTGTCAGTCTTTTTGAGAAAATCATTATTGAGGCTTGAGCATCCGTGTATTGAAGCAAGCAGTGATAAAGTAGAGTGCTAAGTGAATAACATGCAAAACTACATCCCTTCCAGTAGTCTCTAAGGGGATCAATGGAGGAGGGGTGGATCATAAAGCTGTCTGCTCAATGCAGAGGGCAGGTTAAACTTAAACGTATAGAAGGCCATCCCACATGCTCCTCCAGGTAGCTATCTTTTTCTGCGCATGTGCACTCTCAGGCAGATATCTGTGGTGAGCTAAGTTTTCAGACAGTCATTGAAGCTGACCTTTATCACCATGGTTCTATAAAAAAGGGTCGAGGGTCGTAAAAATAAAGTGTCCAAATAGCAGGGAGGTGTTCCTCATGAGCTGAACTCTTGCTGTCATTTCTGGACCTTATTATTTTAGAGTGCTCACTACAGCTATTTTCAGTCTGTTGGAGTAATTTCTTGTGTTTCGACATTTGAAAATAGAATGCGTAGTGTTTAGATTCGACTACTACCGTTCAGTCTCCCCTGTTCCAGAGAAGAGTTGCTGACACTGATAGGAGCTGTCCATAAAAATTTCTATGTAGAAAAGGTAAAGGTAAGCTAGCACCACAAGTGGCTCTATTAAGGAAAGAAGTTAAAGGTGCAGTAGGAAAATAAACACATTTTTTACCATGTGGTTTAAAGATCTCCCCACAGCCGCTTAATAAGCAGTGAAATAGAAGGTCTGTAAGTGAAACTAAATGAAAGGCTACAGAGAGAAATCAATTAATAACCTGAACCAATAGGGAGAGCCGGTCCGTTGTACACGATTGGTTCCTGACACGTCAGTCATGCTCATCTGCTTGTCCCTCCCCCCTTTGCGCGTACACTGACACAGGAATGAATCAACCTGCCAATGCTTTGGCAGGATGCCATGGCTGAAAGCTAGCCACTGTTATGCAACATTCACACCTATGGTGACCAGATTTGGGTTTCTGAAAAGGAGGCAGCTGGGGTTGCTGACTGGCTCGGACCGGGAACCCCGGTGGCAGGGGATAGAGTAACCAACCCGACCTGGTGACGGTAGACCTTCCCCCGTCTGCCAGGTAAGGCAGGCGGGGGAAGGTCGGACCGAACCCGACCTTCACCGGTTCGGGTTCGGTCCGAGGGGATTTCAAAATCGTCAGGGATTTTGGTTGACTACAGTGCAGCAGAACCGAGCCGTCAGCTCCAGAGCTGGGGACAGAGCGACCAAACCCGATCCGGTGACGGTAGCCTGGACACCGGTGCCCCCAAGCAGGTTCGGTCGCTCTGTCCCCAGGAAAAATAGGACGTCTGGTCATCGCACCTAAAGTAGCAAGAGCGTGCTGCTTCATTTTTGAAAATTGTACAAGTTTAGTCTGACGTGAGGCTGAAGCATATTTGTTGCTCTGGCTGGTCAGGCGGAGTTACCCTATCCTTTCTTTGCCTGTAACGATAGCAGCTATATTTGCTGTGATCAGTGGGTAAAAAGTAGTTTGAATCTATTTTGAAGGGAGAAAGTCCACCTGAAAACATTGTCAGTGCAGTCAGTTCATCCAGAATACCATCCTGCCTTCAAATACTGTTTCTGTCGGAGCCGATCAGACCCCCGTACACCTATAAATCACATTCCTCTTTGCAGTTTGCCGCAGTGGCTGAAAGGCCATGTCCATAATCCAAACTGCAGGCACCAGTATAATAAAAGCGAACATGTTTTGCCAGAGGATTTCTGTATTTTAATTTAATTTAGGCGTTAATAAACTATTTCAGAGGAGTGATGATAGCGCTCTGCATCAACAGTGGTTCCCGTCTCCCTGCCAGCAGCTGCTCCTGTTGCTGTAGACGTGCTGCAGACAGCATGCACATTCATGTGTTATAAAGGTGTGGTTTCGAGGGGTCCAAAGGGAGAGGCATGGTTGTGTAGCTTTTTTCCAAGATCTCCCACTGCACCTTTAAGCAGACGAGTTTTACAACTTCAAATTTGCCTCCTCTCCCACATTCCACTAAGTCTATGGCGACACACTTATAGTAGTGCAGAGAACCTAAGAGGAAGAGGAGCCGAAAATCTAATTGTTCTTAAGGCCTTATAGAAGCTTGACCTAGCCCTATATTATTTTATTTATTTTCTTTTTAACGAATATCTAGTTGAATTTTTGTTCATGCATAACTTTGAAAAAGTTGATGGTCTCTTATAACTTATTACTGAAAACTAAAGACAAGAACTGTTTTTATTTCATTTTCAATAGATAGACAGATATTTATATTACTTTTAATATTCCTTTAATCCTAGAGTCATAAAAAGATGAAAATGCACACTAAAGGAACAAAGATTACTAATTTATCAGTTTTATGAATTATGAGAGGGATGACTGTGTCATAATTTTTTACTTTTAGTAGTACTACTATTTAATAATAGTAGTATTTTTTGTTTATGTTACAGCATTCACTTTTACTAAAACTCCAAGCTTTACGTGAGTCAAATGATTATTTTCCTATATTGATCAAAAATAATTCACATGAAGGACAGAAGGTATCAACTCATGAGAGTGATATTGTGAGGTGGTTGTCATAATCATTATATACGTTACTCTTTTTGTCTCAGATCTTAACATTTTTTTTATTCTCTTTGCTTCTCTATTTTCTATTCTCTTTTTCATTTATTAAAACACCAGCACCCTCAGAGTTGATAACTCAACAAACTCTCGGTTAAACATCAGTTTCCTGAAAGCATATTTTTCTTCTGACATGACAATACCAAGCATTATGAAGACACAGATAAAGGCGTAGAGGCGTTTATTGCATGGGCAGTGGTACATGAAGGGAGTTAAGTTGATCTAGATGGTAACATATCCTTCAGGAGTTGCTCCTTTTGTTTTCTGCAAGCCCCAAGTTATGAGGAGGTTTTGGAGGAGGAGATCACTTTGCCATCTTTAATCTCCTCTGTGACCACAATGACCTTTTTCACTGTGGTGCTTTCTGAGCCCCCGATGCTGCAAAGACAGAAAAATACAGAGTTAATAATGAATATCACTATGATCAGTTATTTATTGATAAAAAAGGTATTTTTCTTTATTAAATTACCTGGCCTCTCCATCCAGCAGCCTCCTGTATTCTGCAATCTCCATCTCCAATCGTGTCTTGATGTCTAGCAGCATCTTATACTCGTGGCTTTGTGATTCTATATCGGCACGCAGATTGGTTAGCTGTTGCTCAAGAGATGTCACCTGCATCTGAAGCCCTTGGAGCTTCATAGAGTACCGGGCCTCTGTTTCAGCCAAAGTGCCTTCCAGACCCGCTTTCTGAGGAGAGGAGGGGTAAGGGGTGGATGCATAAATGCAGCAGAAAAACATTCTGTGTATGGGAACAGAAGTACAGCCCAGATGAAATGACTTACCATGCTGTGTTGTGACTGTAACTCGATTTCCAGGCCTTGTAATGTGCGACGGAGCTCAGAGATCTCTGACTTAGACGTCTGCAGAACTTCTGTGTGCTGGACCACCTCTTTGTTAAGTTCCTCCGTCTGCAGCAGATGTGTTGAAATGTCATAGACGAAAAACATATCAAACTTTTACACAACTTTTTCAACAAAAAGCCAAGTCTCACCTTTGAGTCGAACCAGGACTGGAGTTCTCTCTGGTTCTTTGCGGTCACACCTTCATACTGCTCACGGATCTCAGCCATAATTTTGGACAGGTCTACTTGCGGTTTTGCATCCACCTCTACATTGATCTGACCACTCATCTGGTTCCTCATAGCTTCCATTTCCTGTACAATAATAGGGCATGATTTGTTTAGTTGTGTTTTTCTGTATTTTATGAAACATTTGAGACAGCTTATGGATCTAAACTTTACTGTTCTCTCCCCACCTCTAAATGATTCTTCTTAAGGAAGACCAGTTCTTCCCTGAGACCCTCTATCTGCATCTCCAAGTCAGATCTGGATAATGTCAGCTGATCCAGAACTCTCTTCAACTCCGCAATGTCTGCCTCCACTGATGTGCGCATGCCAAGCTCATTTTCATACCTGTAGGGCAGTAAAAAGTGTTTCATCATTGATTTGCTACTTCCAAGTGAATGAGCATATCAAGTATTAAACCCCTCTTACTTGGTTTTAAAGTCATCTGCTGCCAACTTTGCATTCTCCTGGGCCAAGAAGATGCCTCCATTAACAGAAATAGCATCCTGGATCTGTAGGAAGAAGATGCAGCTCTTAACATTGACTGCAAGGAATCACACAGTGTTTTTCCAATGCATGCATGGAAAATAGCAACTCACCTTTCCCTGGAGGTCGGCAATGGTAGCGTAGTATGCTGAGTAGTCCCGGGCAGAAGGGCCAGTTTTGCTTTCCAAGTACTGTCGGATCTTCAGCTCCAGCTCAGCATTGGCACTCTCCAGTTTGCGCACCTTCTCAAGATAAGAGGCCAGACGATCGTTCAAGTTCTGCATGGTGGCTTTCTCATTCGCTCCAACGTGGAGGTCCACTCCTCCACCAGCCCCGAAACCTGCACCCCCTCCCATCCCATAACTTCCACCTCCAGCACCAAACCCAGAGCTGGAAACAGAGATCCTTGATCCGCTTCCACCTGCACCACCATAAACACTAGAGGCATACTGCCTTTGTACCCGGCCTCCGCCCAGGCTTCCACCACCAAGGTTTCTCCCTGAGTAAGAGCTGGACATGCTGATTCTTGATAGGTTGCTCATTGTTGGAGCTGCTCAGTAGGTCTGCCTGCTTTGGAGTGAAGAGATGGCTGAGATGTACAGCTCTGCTGCCCCCCTCTTTTTATGCTGCACACAGCTGCTACCAGTGTGGGCGGAGCGATGCCGAATGCCTGAGGTGAACATGATCTAAAATGGGTGCAGAGTCCCACCCTTCAAAAACACTGACTTCAGTCTCTTTAAGTAACTTCGTAGGAGAGCAAAAATGATATTTTCTTCAATCCCTGTGGTAAAATTGCAAACAAGCACACAACATAAACTTGTGCTGTTTTTCTAAAAAAAAAACAATGTTTCTGTGAAAACCTTATTGTATCTGAAACAGGCTGAGTAGAACAGCCGCACCCATTACTGTTTGTTCAGTTTCACCTCGGACAGGCTTTAAATCCTGCCAAGATTATCTCAGGTTAAGTCACCTCTTTTGATTTACTGCCATAGTTAATATGCGGGTCACCCATAGCCAACCTAACCTGTTTCGTTACCAGGACAACAATCAGAACAAACACAAAGATGGATGAGGTGGACTTTATATGACATATTTTCCAACTGCTAAAAAAGAAACTTTCCTTCAAAATCTTGTGCAAATCTTATTTTTCAGTCCTTTTGTTTAGCAACAGCCTGAAGTCATTTTTTCTTCTTACATCTCTTTTTGGCTCCATTAACCACTTGGCTTAGCACAGAGCCGACTGCAGAGTTAAATCCTGGCATGTACATAAGCTGAAAGAGAACAAGCTCTTGCCTGTTTGCTTCTTTCCATCCTGCGCTCTTTCAGAATGCCCCCTCCAGAAGTGTTGGCTTAAGCGTGTCACATAAAACCTTTGGAAATGATTATTCAAGTTTCAAAAAGGTAAGAGTTTGAAAAGGTATCACCAATAACTATTTCACTCTAGTTCGGAATTAATGACAGAAAAGGTAACAGGTTTGTCACCAATATATGTTTTTGTTTTTATGTTTTATATTTTTCATTGCCTCCATTTAACAGATGTCTGTTGCTAAATGTGCATACACACACTTTCTTTTTAGCTGCTGCTTCTGATTTTAAGGTTCCACACTCGACTCCTCTCTGCTAAACAGGAAACAGATGTCAGGGACACTGAGCAGTACGAGTGTGCAGTTATATTGCAGGGAAGACACAACAGGATTTCAGACCAATAAAGCATGGCATACTTATATATACCTTCCTGCACAGCAAATTGTCCTGCATCGCGGTATATTTTGCAACAACATAAATGCTTTGGCAAAAGTAAAGTTAAGCCCCTTAAAGCCACTTTGGTATAACCTGTAAATAATTACACATATAAAACTCTGGTCTAATAAAGACACCAGAGAGGAGAAATAGTGACATCACCACACAGATGTCCTTAAACAACAACTTAACAGCACTACAATATTTCACCAAGTGATATACTGTGGCTCTTGATAGATTTAAAACTGTTTTCAAACATTAGCTGGAAATACAGAAAGGCTCAGAATTATTCATATATTGGCCAGATAAATCTTTCATGTTATGTTTTTAATATACCATCAATTGTCTCCTAGGGCTGCAGCCATTGGTAGCACTAATGCCTTGCAGCAAAGATGTTCTGAGTTTGAATTCCATCAAGGTGTTATTCTGCACAGTTTCTATTGTCTGCCCGTGCATTGGTTTTCTCAGCTTCCTACCCCAGTTTAAAAAAATGGATGGTTTAGCAATCTTTCTATATTGCACTTTAGGCATTATTTTTGAGCAAGTATGGTGGTTTGTCTTTTGTGGCTCTGTGAGATCTGTTTTTAAGGAGGCCCTGGGCCAAAGGCAGCAAAAGTTATATCACAACAATAACATTTGCAGTTTAAGGAGGTCATCTCAAGTGCTGTTTGCCTTGTCTTAAAAGTGTTCAGTGTAATAAATCATATTAATTTCCAGTCTTTTTTGAAGAGTTTTTCATTTGATGGAGCAGAATAAATAAAAGCCATTTTTCCAAGTTCTGTTTGAGCAAATGGAACAGAAAGCAACAAATAAAGAGTAGGCGTCAACATTTCTCTGTGTGATTAAATTACAGATGTAGGAGGGCAATAGTCTGAGTATTGCCCAGCCTCCTGGTGGACATAGAAAGTCATCCCAAACGATGGGTGTATAGATGTTTCTCCTAAGTGGAAGTAATATTAAGGTATTTTAGAGACTGAGACAGAATCCTGACTTATATTGATAGAAAATATGTGGGGGAGCTTAGAGTTAAGGTGATGACAAGAAGGCCTTTCCTCTCTGAGAGTGTAAGGTAATTGCCAGGATTATTCATCAAAATTCGGGTGGAAAAATCCAAGTATCAGCGGTTTTCAGAACGGCAACAATAATACAACATACATATAGGTTTAATTTCCTACTACGGTGGAAACATTAGCTTTTAAATCCATCAATGGGGTGCAAATGTATTAAGCCTTCCAAGTTACATTTCTTAGACAGTACGTCTCCAAACTTCTCCTCCTCACAAGCTAAATCCTTACATAAATGCATGTTTTTAAATGACATTTTAACTTCAGACTTTAGTATTACTTTTTTCTGTCTTGTGTAGTTCTAGATTGATATCCAATTTTATTTCCATCCTGATGTAATATCATTACCTTTTTAAGCAATATTTACCTGTGCCTCTTAGTTGTTTTGTGCATATTCTTAATTTAGAAAGTAAATTTATATTAATTTTCTGTTCCCCTATATTCCTTTTAGGGGAGCTGGTGCAAGTATCCAGCAGTTCATCTCAGCACACCCCAAACCAGTCACAGGATGGAAAACTTCTAGTCTTCTGAAAATAGACAGCAATAGTATAATTCATATCAATTTATATGATAAAAACATGAATGAGTAAGTAGTAAAATGTGCATAGTAAAATTCAGTGTTGATCTGGCCTGACTGAGATGTTTCAAAGGTTGTTTCTCCTCAGGCAGTGAATTATCACCCAATGTATCTTTCACTGTGTTGCACATTTAAGACATACAAGAAATGTTTTAGAGCAGCTATAAGACATGCAAAGACAGGCTTTAGTGTTTGGCATTGATGAGAAGAAGAAGAACTATCTTGTTACTCAATTTTAAGCAACTGAAGGTCCCCTGCAGCAGCCATTTGGAAACAAGCATGTCTGCAGGCCATCCCTGCCTGTTCACTGTAAACTGTCTGTAGTTCTAGAATATTCATAACATGCTTTCCTATTTATATTGGCATCTCTTTGCAAGGATACTAGGTTTGTGATAAAGCTAAATCTGTGCCCAATAGGAGAAGGATTTCAAATGTAATACAACCCAGTTAAAAGTATTAAAGCTACATGAAAAACAATTTTATAAACTTATAACTAAAAAAACATAAAGTTTGACCAAGACCAACAACATATCAATTCCACATAAATACATTCTCATATAAGATGCATGTTCAAGAGCACTATCTTTAATCCATTTAATGTCTGTAATTGAAATGATCCTGAATAGTTTCAAAAAGCCAAGCCTACTTTCAGAAACAGAAATTGTTGACATGTCATTTCAGGACAGTACATTCACTCTTTAAGACATTTTTTTGCATGATGTAACCTGCACAAACGAATGAAAGAGGATAGCTCATGGCTCTGTTGTTGTTTTAAAAACCTTTGCAGTTTGTGGTTTTGCCTCAGGTAAGTAAACGGCATTATAACCCGATGAAATGACATCATCTCTGTACAAAATTCCAGTACTTAAACATCAACAGCCAGTAGGAAAGAAAATGTTACAAAAACAAATTGAATTTTTAGCATGCAATGTACAGACATGTTTCTGTAGTTTCATGCCCCAGACAGAGATAAACAAACTGACCTGATGTCCAACCATTGACTGCTGAGCTTTGTTATTATTCAATTTACCTCTCAAATCTTGTCCAATCTTCTTCTTTAATCAAAGATTCATTCAGACAAGTAACAAAATCAATCATCAAAATACATTATTACTGCAACCCAAAAAAACCACCAGAGTGGTACAAAGTGTACAAATCTTTCCCACAACACAACATGAACTCTTTTGGACCCTTTAAATCCCTTAGATTTGTGGAACTACACAAGAGCAAACAGGTGAAAATACTCACGTAAATAAAACTTAATACATTCATTCACCTGCTTTCTGTTTTGTTTATTTTGCTTTTATGTAAGAGATTTTTCTCATTTTAATGCTGTTGAATCCTGCGCACACTCACCTTTTATATAGTCATTGTGAAGGTATTGTATTTTTCTGAGTGCCGAGTGATTGATGGTATGTGTGGTGATAAACCAAGGTGTGGTTGTGGTTTCTGTGTGAACAGACTTTAAAAGGCTTGGTATTTGCACGCTCCTTTTAATGAATGAAGTAAGGAGCATTTCGTTTGCTAAGACAATCCAAACCTCACCACAGGTTATAATATATCTTTGACTTGCTAAGTGGATTATTACCGCACATAAGTTAGAGATGCAGCTGCGGTTAAAAAATATGCATAATTCCTTCTAACACATTTCCGGCCTTGCAAGCTCTAAGGATGATGCAAAAGTAAGTTGAGAAGGCTTTCTTAGTTTATCAAAACAACCCACATTCAATAAACTGTAGAGAAGAACAGTATGTCTGCAATGTGCAGAAACGTGATAGATATTCCCAGCATGCTTTTCTCTGGGTGTGGATCCACTCTGTGTATGCCAAATATAAAAAGCATTCAAATCTGTTGAAAAGGAAGGACCAAGTGCCAAGATGACTCACAGCTCAGTCAGGTAATTTTTTTGAAGTCCTCCCTTGTCTTTGTGTTTTGTTAGATGCCCTGTTTCCTGTAGTAGTTTCTTCCAATACCCTGTAGGGACTGACCACACCTTAGCCACACTTGCATGCAAAGGCTGCATTTATTTAAAAGATCTGGAAAGTTCCAGCTATCTGACAGAACTTATTTTTTCCTCAATTAGCAATTAAGTTTGTTATTTAAACCAAAAGCCCATGAGGCACCCGTAAAGGGGTCATAGGATGCAAAACCGAGTTTACATTGCCATAGATGAAAAATGATAGTTCAGTGGGTGAAATGAACGTACAG